CTGCTCTCAGACCTGACTCCTGCGCTGGAAGGCCTGGGTGGGCAGTGGTGTCACTAATGAGTAGCTGGGGGTGTTGGAGAGCACTCAGAAATGTGATAATTACTTCAGATTCCACTGAGCGCTTGAATCTGTGACCATGGGATGGAGATTAGGACTGTGCTGAGCAAATTTGTCAGTGGCACTGGGGTGGAATGTGTCATGACAGAGAGGACAGCAGTGTCATACAGAGAAAATTACATTGCTTTGAGGCCCAGAGTAACTGGCATGAGATGAAATTCAGTTCTGCAGGGCTACTTGGGGGCTAAGAAAATCATCATTTATTCACTGGGAACTCATAATCTAGAAATTGTCATGGGAAAGGCCTTGTGTGTTCTGTTTGGTACTACAGAGTCAGTCTGTAGTCCATATGATGCATTTAAGAATAAGAAAATGGCAAATGTGATTTTAAGAGGTGGTTTGGTGATTTTAAGCTTCATATGTAATTTTAAAATTCAGAGTATTTTATGGACTTACAGGTACATTCACATCTTCTCTTGAATATTGTTTAGGCTTCTGGTCACCTATGTTCCAGAAGTCAAGCAAAAATTGAGGCATGTGGCTGAGGCAGCTGGGGAACAATCTTATCTGCCAGGAGATGCTGACAGGCCAAAAGACCAAGCAGCCTTTTTCCACATGATAAAGGTACCCAAAAACGGAATAGATTTATGTCCAGCATATGCTCCTTGTAAATGTAAATCTGTGCTCCTGCTTCTTGATCTCCCTATTCTTGCGAGTTGTTGCAAAGAACTTTTAGGTTCCCAGATGTGTCTCCAGTTTTTGTCAGTGTCTGTTGAAGCCCTACAACTTTTTTGACTGTAGTGGCAATTGAAGCTTCTCAGTTATGAACGTCAGCCTCAGAAAAGAACCATTTGAATTTTGTGTTTAGTAATATATTTACTTGCACAGATGTTAACAGCATAGTATGGAGATGTTCTTTCTGCTTACTGATTTTATGTTGCCTAACAATGACCCCTCAGATTCCTGGGCTTTGTGGCTCTATGGTAAGAGGCACAGTAAGTTTATGTATATTTATGTACATTTTTCAGTGTTGAAGGTCACTGTCAGACCTGAGAGCTAATTCTGCTCTGGGCTTTCCTCATGTGACAATTTTCTTTTTCTCAGGGTTGTTTGTACCTCATAGTCATTCACTGAAAAGTTCTTCCAAAATTTACTTTTAATATGCAGTAGGAATTTGTAGGGGGAAAAAAAAAATCCCATTTAGAAGCAAATGAGATAATCTTATATAGACCTCAGCAGTTTCAAAGTCCCTGCTGGGTTTGGCAAAGGCCAGCACACCAAGAACACATGTGCTGCTCTGGGAGGAGTTCCCAATCCCCTGAAACTCTGACTGCTGACCTCTTTCAAACTTGTGAATACCACTTGATTTTTCTTCTTCCAGCTCCTTCTCTTTCTCCATCTGCTTGTCCCTTTTCTGTCCATTTCCAAGGAAAGAGTATTTTTTGCAGTCTTCTCCAAAAAGCTTATTTTTTATATAGTGTTTCCAGCTCTCTGGAAATTCAGTTCTTAACTTTGATTGACAACCTCATGTTTCCTTTCACACCCACCCCCATTACGGATTGTTTTTTGGCTGCAGTTTCCCCAATGCATTTATGGGAGCTGCTGCTGCCTTCTCTGAAAAAGTACTGAAAAAACTTTATGATTTCAGGCAGATTTCCTTTTCATAGCATTTGCCAGCAGCATTGTGGATATGGCTGAGCTCACAATTTCAACTGGAGACAGCCAGAAACCAGGATTGCGAGTACCAGATGGGGCTTTTCTAACCTTTAGCTGTATTGATCCTCAAAATAAAATAAAATAAAATGGGAGATTACAAAGGACATGACGTAACTTCATCCTTCATGATGTGACATCCATTCCAGAAACTGATCAGAGTATCGCACTATGCAGGAAAAGATGTTTTGGGATTCAAGTGTGCTTAGCTGCTCTAAAGCCCTCTGTGCTCTCCATTGTCATGTCTCTAGATAGCATGCATGGACAATAAAGATACAGGATCCATTCCTTCATGAAGCACAGGTATTTATTTGGGTCTTTATTTCCTTGGCTTTCAGTGAGCCCAGATGGGAGATGAATCTTGCAGGAGCACCTGCTGCTATAAGTAGCAGGTGCACCCAGGGCAAAGGCAGACCTTGTTGGGATGCAGCTGAAATGTAAAATACATCCACATCCACATATGTAAATTAGTAAATTTATCCATAAAGACATTTCTATTAATTGGAATGCTATGATGAAAACTTGGGACTATTTTATGGCACATGAGGCAGACATATTCTTAGCTGAGTTTCATGCAAATTATCTCTTGTCAAACGCTGGCATTCCCAGAGGATCTTGTGACCTGATTTTCAACACAGCTGAAGGCATTCAAATCCCACTGGGAGCCAGAGGGGTTTGGCACCTTAAGAACTCAAAGACTGCTTAATTCTGCTCAGGTGTGTAGTAGTTCCAGGTTAACAGGGAGAGCAAGGTCCTGTTCTTGCACCCAGGCCAAGGAAAATAATTTATTTCCCTCCTTTGTAAATTCTGCTAGCAAAGAGATAGATGGTTTCTCTGATGTGGAACCCTCCAGGACTGACTAAAGAAAAGATGAAAAAAGATTTTGCATTTTTGTTTCCATTTAGCAAGTATTCTGAGCAGAGTCCCAGCACCACCGGATGGGTGCTGTCTATGCAACATTTTTATTGTGCCCTTAGACAATTTGTGTTTTCTATATTGCTATTAGGATAGAAATAGCACAGAAACTTCAGGAAAATACTTAATTGTGCTGGGATTTTCTAATGGCATGAAACCTTTTTATTTTGTCCACACCTCAAATTCCCATGACCCTGCTACCAAACCTCCCTTGAGTCCCAGCCTTAGGTTTTTTTCTTTAAAAAGTCTGGGAAAGGTAATTTGTATATCAGCCTTCTCTATATAGAGGCTCTAATTACTAATTATGAAGTAGCAATTAAAAATCACTTACAGGATTAATGTATAGGAGGCTATCAGAAATTTTAGCATGTACTTTAAGAGAAAGTTATGTTTTTAAAAAATTGATTATTCTGCCAAAAGAAAGGATTTTAATCCAGTTTTAACTTCATGACTGCCACTGAGAATTTGCAGCAGCCTGTGAACCAGGTTAATCAGTCAGGCTGCCAGTCAGGCTCAGATCAGGTCCTTCCCTGGCAGTACTGCTGCCTCCTGCTTTTACATTTAGCATTCCTTCAGCAAACAATCCAGTGTCCTGTTTGCTCTTGACATTAAACATAAAGCTCCCAGAGTCCTGCTGCTGCAATGTCTTGCAGTTACTGCTCAGAGCTGTTTCCCAGACACTGTGTGGCAGCACTGCTCCACGTAATGGGTGCTTTTTATATTCCCTTCTGCTTGTGAACCAGGTGATCGACCAAAGCCCTTTTGTCACTACACCCATTCCTGCTCCTCTTTATTTGCTGTCTTTCTCTTATCCTCCCCACACTCATCTTTTATCATATATTGTCCTCACTCTTAAAGTGATTTATATTTTCCTGGCGTTAACATTAGATTTTTTTTTTTGTACACGAGATTCTTAAGATGTGAACAATGGCCAGAATTATAAAATATGTGAGGTTATAACAGGCTTGGAAAAAAGATGATATTCATTCCTTCCCTCAGAGGATCTAACCTTAGGTTCCCAGTTTAGATACTTAATCCTGCAAGGCTCCCTACACTACCAGTAGAGACGTTCTCCCCCCGCAGGGCTGAGCAGTGTCTAAATGAGCTCCCAGTGCCTCTCCAGGCTCCTCCTGCTCTCCATTCATTGCATCAGTGTCAGGGTTTAACCCCAGCTGGGGGCTGAGCAGCTGCTCACTCACTTCCCCCAACAGGATCAGGGAGACAGTCAGAAGAGTAAAACTGAGGAAAGTCATGGGTTGACATAAAGACAGTTCAATTGGTAAAGCAAAAATTGTGCACAAAAACCAAGGAATTAATTTCCTGTTTCCCATGGCCAGTCAGGTGTTCAGCCATCCCCAGGACAGCAGGGCTCTGCCAAATGTAACAGTGACTTGGGAAGACAAACACCATCACTCAAAATGTCCCCCTGTTCTTCCCCCAGTTTTACATGCCAGCCATGACCCCACATGGTCTGGGCTATCCCTTGGGTCAGTTGGGGTCAACTGTGCTGGCTGTGTCCCCTTGTACCCCTGGTCTCCTCACTGCTGTGGTGGTGTGAGGAGCACAGAAGGCCTTGACCTTGTGTAAGCCTTGCCCAAAAATTACAAAAACATCCATGATCTATCAACTGATTTCAACACAAATCCAAACCGGCCCCAT